TTGTCCCAAGTTGTTTTTAAGTGTTTGGCATGGTAGCCTGGAAGCACTATACTTTGATTTTGAATGCACACTGCTATATGTCTTGTTTTTAAGTGTTTGTCATGGTAACCTGGAAGCACTATACTTTGAATTTTGAATGCACACTGCTAATATGTCCATGTCACCCATAATTGTGCCTGAATCCTATTTCACTTAAAAAAATTATGGTAGCAATTTTGATTGTATAACTAACTAGAATGCTTGATGATCAGTATGGAAAAGATTACGAATTTGATGCCCCCGTCAAGTTGTTGGACAAGCATTTACATGCAATGGCGCAATCACCTGATGAGCAGCTTGTGGTGGTCTCACAGGTCTGTGAAGCCCTTTCTATTAACCACCGGCTATGAAAGTTTTCATGCTATGTGGCACAAGCCCATCCATCTTGCTTTGCGTTAAAGTTTGATAGAATTACCATTTGATACCAATTTTATGATCTTGTAGGTGCTTGTGGCAGATATCAATATTGGTTATGAAGAACTTGTCAATACTCAGGTAGTTATGGGTGATCTCTATGTGGATATTCCTAGTTTGAGTTTCAATTTTTCAAAGTTTTGTCTACATATGCAGTTCAAGAACTAAATTGGTGTGTCTGTACTCACATGAAGTATTATTGTCCTGCTGCACCAATTAATCCTTAGCATTCTTTCTATGCCAGTTTCTCTTGCATGCCAGTTAAACTCGTACTCTGAATATTTGTATAATTTTAACATGTAAGCATTAAGATTGGACATGAGAAAATGGTATGAACATGGTTGTTGTTGTCTCAAAAGCACCAACATATTTTTGGAAGTTCTGCTAGTATAACAAGAATTAGCAGCCAAGATAAGAGGAATGTTGTTCTTTCTGAAGTGGAATGATTGAACGCGTGTCTTTCAGAGGCAAAATTGTAGCATTGGTACTAAATTTAGTGAACCTTTTAGACATTCTTAGTTTACATACCATTCTCCAAGGCATGTAGTAAACTTAACACTCTTTTTTTAGCAGTGCATAATAATGTGCCCTTATTATCATCTGCCTTTTTTGTTATCAATGTAGGTGCGTGCGTTCAATGGGAAACCAGTAAATAATTTGAAGCAGCTGGCGACCATGGTGGAAGATTGCAATGAGGAGTTCTTAAAATTTGACATGGATTACGACCAGGTAGTTAAATTGCCACCTATTTATAACGTTCTGTTGAATGTCAAGTTGGAAGTAACCGTCGGATGATTTGGCAGGTTGTCGTTCTCGAGACGAAAACAGCTAGGGCTGCTACTCAGGACATTCTAACAACACACTGCATACCTTCAGCGATGTCAGATGACCTGAAGGCCTGAGTAAAAGCACGGTGGTTACCGATACAATCCCAGTTGGCACACAATCCCGGTTGGCTTATACAATGCCAAGTGCACGAGAAACCCCTCTGCAGCAATGAGTGCTGCTGAAGTTTTGGACGTGGAAGAGCATTATGGTTCGGCAAAAAAGGCGAATGGTGGCCAACATCGCTCGCATCCTCACTGGCTAAGGTTGAAAATGCACGCGGCACCGAGCAACCGAGAAACCTGTAGAATAGCAGCAATCGAAGTTTTGTTCTCATTTGATTTATTGAATGAATACCTGGAAACTCGTTGCATTTGCGTACCCGTATCCGTATCGTCATGTTTGCCGTGATGTATTCACTTTAAACCTCTGCAATCTTTTACTCAGCTGGCGATACTTTTTTATCGTACCAATTATTTGATTTTCTGGAGTACTCATGTGTCTTTTTCTACCAAAGTTTTGTTTTGGTGGTTGTCGTGCCTGTTGCTTGTAAAGAGAGCCTGCCTTCGAGCACAAGTGACAGGTCTGGTGCAGTTTTGGACCCTCGTCGACGGCGATGCGTGTTTTTGACGAGCCTTTTTCCTTGGTCATCCCTTCCCGTGGAAGCAAATCCGCCGTACCTACTTGCCATGATTCTGGTAGGTGTCCTGTATGATTCCCATCCCTTTCGTTCTAGAGTTGAGTCGATCCAGTCTGTGCAAATGTTTGGCAGTGAACGAAATGCTTCATCACAACAGCTGGTATCCATACATACGGGACAGATATAGTGCAATTTTGTCCTGCAAAGAATCTGACCAAAAATAGCCCTTGGCCACTGTTTCCCTTTCCCGTGACAATAGACAAATTTACTCCCTTTTTAGAACTCCGGCACAAAATAAATTGGATCCATTTTCTTTCACAAATGACCCACTTTGCATAACGTCTCGGGCTGAGGCGTCATATGCTAGATAAGGGCATCTTCAAGGGAGACCTGTAAACCTCTAACATGACGCCCTAGGTGCCCAGAGCGCCATGACCCCTAGCCCCGGGAGCTATGGCGCACCGGGTTAGGACATCATGTTATTTGTCATGGCGCTCTAGCTTTGGGTGTGATGCGAGTAGATCATTTTATTAAATACTTTTGAATTGGGTTATTTTCCGCTAATTTTTTTTAGAAAGGTTAGGCTTGTCCATTTTCATCCCCTTCCCTGCAGGAGTGCGTAGAAACTTTTGTTCCCAACACACGGGATATTAGGCTAACTTCACCGCGCGACCCATCCTGTCCGCACACGTTCGTTTGGGGTAAAATGAACGAACCAGACGGCCCAGCGCGCGGGCGCAAACGAACTTTTGTCCGTTTTCTGTTCGCTTTTGACCCATCCCCGGCCCAAATTTGCGTCGTTTTTGGGGTGAAACGGACAGCACGCGGACGCTCGGGCCGTCTGCACGTGTCCTCCCCCGGCCCGCCCGTCAGTGGCACGGGGACGCCTTTTTCTATCCGCCCCCTCCCTCGCGCCGGCCGCATCCCCTCCACTCTTCCCCACTTTTCCCCTCGCTGCCGCTGCCATTGCAGCTGTGCCGCTCGGACGTGCGGTCGCCCAGCCTCTTCCCCTCGGCGCCCCGAGCTACCCAACCACGGCCACCTGATTTGCGCGCCCGCCGACCGGATTTGCGGCGGATCCGGGCGGTCTTGAGCTCGCCCGGCTGTGGGAGGCCGCGCCGCGCCATGGACTGGCCAGGCACCGGGCCGGAAGGCCCTGGCAGGGCCGCAAGGCCACATGCAGGCAGTGGCTCGTCCTTTAGCCGCTCGGATCTACACCGTCGGTAGTCCGCCGGTAGATACCCGAATGGCGGTCGGCCGGGCTCAATGCTAGCCCAAAAGCTCGTCGGTGTACCGTTGCCACTCATTAAGTGCGACCACTGCCCAAAGAAGGTCGTGCGCCGCGTGTCTACAACGCCGGAACATTTCGGATGGGTGTTCATCAAGTGCTTAAACGATGGGGTATGTGGTCTGTACTGTGTTAAAAAAACCCGATGGGGTATGTGCTCTTTTGAGCTTCGGTTTGTGCTCTAGATTTGACTAGTTGTGCTAACTTCAAATTTTATTGTGTAGCATGGATGCAAGTTTTGATATTGGGAAGAAGAGTTCATCGATATATTGATAGAACGCAATTTAGTAGATGTTCGTGCACTTTTAGCTACATAGAGGCTGTAGATGAGACAAGTGCACTTGTTGCTAGATTAGAGGCTAGACACGAGACTAGATGCGAGGAAACAACCTCTACTTTTTTAGACTCGAAGAAGAAAGAAGCACGCAAGATCGAGCCTTCTCCGCAGATCAACAATGAATGCATCGAGAATGCACTAATCCAACTTACAGGAGCTGTTATGGAAGTTGGATATCTTCTAAAATGTATTCTTATGGTTTTTGTTTTCTTTGGTCTTACTTTTTTAGTCAAAATGTGATGATGTATTCCATGTATCAAAAATGAATGATGAATTTTTTTAAGGCCTTGCAAAGAAAAAAGTACGCGGACATGATGCAGCCCGGATGCGTCCGCGCGTTGGGCCGTCTGCCACCGCATTTCAGAAACATCCCGGACACGACGCCATTGCCCTATTCAAACGTACATAATTCGGATAAAACGGACGTCGGGCCGCTCGGTGGAGTTGGCCTTAGGAGCTTCGACGGTGTGACTGAGAGGTGGTGGTGGCAGCACCGCGGCCTGCCACAGCACCATGCCCGTTTGATGGGCAGGGACATCACATGGCATGCCAAAGCAGGCGTACGTGCGCGCCGGCGGCATGTGACGCTGCTGCCAAACGCGCACCGCCACCGGCCACCGGCCACGACGGACGCACGTACCTGTCCTGCAGCCGTTGCCATGCATGCGGTTGCAGTCAAATTAGGCGCCGACCACGGCGGAGCTACGTGCAGCCTCACATGCAATGCGAGACATGGACACCATACTTGTGATTGAAAAACATCTATGGTTGGATTGCAAGATTTGCCCAAATATCAAAGATCTCCAGGCCGGGTTTATTTGACACGACATGAATGTCACGTCGCAGCTGTTTATTGAGTAAAAATTAAGTAGTACTTCTTCCGTAAACAAATATAAAAGCGTTTAGAATAGTATTAAGAGGTACCGAGTGTGCTTCTCTATTAACCATGCCATGAATAGACGATCTTGAAAGAACTATTTCGTGAAAAAAAAGAAGACCCACACGAGGCAGCACAACTCATAATCAGTAACATAATCCAGCATCATAAAATGCTGCTACAACATCGGTAGACCCCATTCAGCAAGGCCACGAGAGGATCCGGGCCAGATCAAGTAGGCCACAGCATATGAAACAGAGCGCGGCACCAGCACGCAAACTTGCAAAAATAAAAAAGGAGACGAGAGAGAGAGAGAGAGAGAGAGAGAGAGAGAGAGAGAGAGAGAGAGAGAGAGAGAGAGAGAGAGAGGCGGTCTGAGAGGCTAGATAGAGAGAGTGGAGAAGGGTGTGACGGTGACCTCCCTCTTCAACCTCCCTTTGCCAAGAAGCCACCACGGCACGATACACAACCAAGAGCAAACCAACCACTCACTCACTTCTCAGCTCCCCCATTCCTCTGCTCTGCTAGACTCTGCTACCGCTTCAGTTGGTTCTCCTTCCATTTTGTCGAGTTAGCCGGCATGGCGTCCAGCGCCTCCCGGTTCATCAAGTGCGTGACGGTCGGCGACGGCGCCGTCGGCAAGACCTGCATGCTCATCTGCTACACCAGCAACAAGTTCCCCACCGTAATGCCCACACCCTCCCATCTCTCTCTCCGTCTTCCGGGTACAAATTTCGGGCTCTCTTGGGTTCCAGGAAACACCAGCTGCTGGGCTCAGGATTTCCCCCATTTGCATCCTGGTCCGGTTTGATGGATTCGCCCTTGCCCGTTCTTGAACCCGACCGAGGACCCTCGTCCAGTGTCTCTTGCCTAGTTGTTTGTGTATACAATTTTGAAATCGCTGCTAAAATTTCACCTCCGAGAGTAAATATTTTGAACCTCTGTTTTGCTCGTGCTGGGCCTTTTTATTACAGGACTATGTGCCCACCGTGTTCGACAACTTCAGCGCGAACGTGGTGGTGGACGGCACCACCGTGAACCTGGGCCTCTGGGACACTGCAGGTTATTTACTTATCCATGCTGCCTGTTTTGTTTCGCTGCTCCACATTTGCAGTTTCCTTCCATGTCTTGTATATATAGTTATTACATCACTCTGTGAAAGCTGCCACAGGATTTTATTGGTGGTCTTATTGTGTGGAGCTCAATTTGTCCACAGGGCAGGAGGATTACAACAGACTGAGACCGCTGAGCTACCGGGGAGCCGACGTCTTCGTGCTCGCCTTCTCGCTCGTCAGCCGCGCCAGCTACGAGAACATCATGAAGAAGGTGCGTATCTATTATTCCACACTACTAGTAGTAGTTCTATACCATCTTGGATCGACGATGGTTTAGCTATTCATTCAGTTGGTTCGTTTTATCCCGTGCTTGTTTATTTTCTCTTTCAGTGGCTACCGGAGCTTCAGCACCATGCACCCAGCGTGCCGATAGTGCTGGTTGGTACAAAATATGGTGAGTTGTGTGACTGCTGTCAAGGGAAGCACTTTTTCCATTTGGCTGCATATTTGTCCGTGATGTTTGGTTTGTACGTTGCTGCCTTGTTGGTAGTGGCTAGGATCTTGTTTGTCTTTTCATTGTTGGAAATACTATGCTTGCCTTCCTTGTGATGTTTCCTGGACTATGGTCAGACTAGTTATTGCGGTATATGTTTAAATGCTACCAAAAGTAAAGGATAAATGGTACTAGTGCATGATTGGAGCAAATGAATATGTTACTCAGTTCGTTGCCAGGTTCAGCAATTAGTGGCCCAGATGATAGTTTCTTATGGATCACTTCTTGCTTGAGAAGAGGGATTGCTTTCTCCTTCCATCGCACTTTGCGAATGGGTTGGCGTAAGAAAATAGTATCTATTTTTTCAAATAAAAAAGAAGAAGAAAAAACTGTTGAAGTGATAGCTTCTAGGACTGTAATACGAAGCAAGGAAAACAATCTGGATTTCTGTTATCCATTTTTGCTCCTGCTGAGATTTTGAAAATCTTGGAATGCCGCCATTTGAATTCAAATCCAAAATTCGAGCAACTTCATAATATACCACCCAGATGAGTTGACTGTCAGGGCGTCAAGTCTCAAGTGGTTGCTCAAAGGATGAGTTTCCCCCCTACGCTGATTTCCTTTCCATATATGCCCGTCAAGCGGTAGCACTTAAAGATGCTTGTGCAGTGTTAATATTGTGACACATAGGCTGATTGATCAGGCAAGATAAACTCTTGTTAAACACCTGAACTTGTTTCCTGCAAATACTATGGAAATCACACAGAAACTATTTGTTGTTTTTAAAATACAGTGCCTGCAATCATATATTGCAAGCCTTTTAATACATCTCATATAATTTTAGTTTTGACCATCATATAATTTTTGTCAATCATTATATTGCCTACATACAGATCTCCGCGAAGACAAACAATACTTACTTGACCACCCTGGCGTGGTGCCTGTTACTACAGCTCAGGTACTATCCCCGGTCCCCATACACCATGGTTACCTGAAGGCCGGAAAATGTTTACCGTTGGCCACTATGTGAAATGAGGATACTCCATCATCTCATGTTTCTTTACTCTTCTTTCCACCCTTACCTCGTAGGGGGAGGAACTCCGCAAGCACATCGGCGCAACCTGTTACGTCGAATGCAGCTCAAAGACACAGCAGGTTAGTTTCTTGTGGTTGCTCTCTGAAGGCTTACATAAACCCCTGTTACATTTTGGATGCATCCTCTTTAAATTCTGGATTGGATTATTGTGCAGAATGTAAAAGCTGTGTTTGATGCTGCCATCAAGGTAGTGATCAAGCCTCCAACAAAGCAGAGGGAACGGAGGAAGAAGAAAGCACGACAAGGATGTGCATCATTGTGAGTAAATATAACTATGCTGTTGTTGTTTGCTCGCTCCGCCTTTTTTATGACCGCGCTTATAAAGCTTTTGTTGCCTTTTTCTTAATACCGCTGAAAGATTTTTATTTTCAGTCAGCATGTATGATTGCTAATATTTTTAGAAAAATTCTGCAATTGCTAAATGCACTGCTCACTTTTTTAGGTTGTGCATGTTCACCCGCCATTTGGTAAAACTGATCCTTTATCGATACCTAACAGAAGTAGGACGAGTTCATAGAATAGACCACTCTTGAATGTCTAGTAAAGCCCTGTAGTGGACTCTGAACTCCCATGGTCTGGAGCCATGCGCCCCATTTTAAAACTTATTTGTGAAATTAAGGAATAAGGAACACAATGCGAATCGGTTTCCTGAACATACCGTGCACAAAATCACTTGTAAAGACTGAAGCATTTTTCGTTACGGTTGCAGGGGTGTCCTGTCTAGAAGGAGACTGGCATGCTTCAAGTGATCAAAGGCCTTCCATGGTGATCAGGGAGTTATTTGCGGCAGCTTGTGTACTCCCTCTGTAAACTCGTTAAGACGTTTTTAGGTCACTAAAGTAGTGTCCTAAAACGCCTTATGAAAGTTTACAGAGGTGGTAGTTTTTTTATCTCATGTTTTGCACTTTGCAGTGTGTGTATATCTCATGTTTTGCAATCAGCCAATCAACTACTGGAGGTAGCTAGATTACTTTGGTGCATTGGTGCTTGTAACAAATTTAGGAATGTTTTTGGTACAGCTTGAGCAATGCCGGGATCTTCCTTTCATCATTCCAAAAGAATCGCTTCCTTCTCGTGATACCGAATGTATCTTGTGATTCAGGAGTATAATTATGTTCTTTTTGCTGATACTACTACGTATCAACTTCGATCTGGGTTGGTGGCTCACAAAGTCACAATGCAACACACAGTGAACAAACAAATACAGGGTGGCCGTCTGGACGCATCATCATGGCCTTGGTCACGTCCATCACTCGCAAGAACCTCTGGCTCCCGCTCGCCTCCCTCGCCCTCCGCATCTCTTCTCTCTGCACTCGCCTCAGCTCCCACCCGGCTCCCTCCAAGGCGACCTCACCTTCCTCGGACGGCCGGCCGCGTCCTGTTGCGGTAGCCGCCGTCGAACCACGAGCCGTGCTCGAACTGGCTCGGCGTGTAGGTGCGCACGAGCGTGACGAGGCCGGGCTTGCACTCTCGGCACCGGGCGATGCCCTCGAGCGCCGCCCGGACGACGCGTCGGACTCCGTCGGTGACGCCGAAGTCCGTGAGGTTGGAGGCGGCGCCGCGGCAGCCGGCGCACCCGACGCGGCGGCCGTCTTCCAGGAAATAGTTGACGCGCAAGAACCAGTTACCGCCCGAGAGGACGGCGTAGTCCAGCTCCGGCGGGCGGCTCCGCCAGACGGCGTCGAGCCTGTCGAGGTGGATGTCGAAGGAGTCGGTGGGCTTCCCGTCGGTACCGACGGCCGGGTCGGCGTGCGCGAAGAACCGTGTCGTGAGCGCCATGAGCGCGAAGTCGTGCGCGGGGAAGTGCCATGCCCGGACATTGTCGGACGCGTCGGCGTGTACGTCCGTGGGAGCCTCGGCCTGCATGCATGACGATTAAGCCAACCAACTGAGACTCCACTGAACGTCGGTGAGATCTTGGAATGTTTATTGTCAATGAGTGCATGTGAATGCGTACCTGAGACAAGAGGCAGAGAAGAGACTCCATCTGGTTGCGCGCCAGCGACTCGCCGACCAAGGCGAGCCGCTTGCCGCGGACGACGCCGAGGAACCTCGCCGGTGCGAACCGCGGTAGCTCGCACCCGGCTGGTCGCCAACGCCAGTAGAAGTCGCGTGGATCCTTGCCGTATTTCTGGCAATTTTTGGAGTCGGGGATGGTTGGGAACGTCAGGTTACTGTAGATCGGGCCATGTGGTTCGCTCATCCATCTGCCCGCCTACACGTCCCATTTCTTCCCGACTGTATTCCCACCACGCCTAAGAATGAACTAGAGGCTGACGCGCGCTTCGCCGCGTAGGATAAATTCTTGTGATCGGTTGTTCTGTTTGGATTTTAGCTGTGTTGGCTTGTATTTTAGTTATGTTCTAGCGGTATTTTCTTTCGTTCGCATATCTTGTGTTGTGTTGCTGTTAGAGACAAATTTGTGCTAAGAGAAGAGTGGAGTTGTTTGGTGTGTGTTTGTGGTGTATTTACATGTTTCGACCTTTGTGTCAGCTTTTGTTGGTTGTTTGAGCTTCTTGGGAACTCTTATGCCATGCTAAAACCGTCAATTTGTTGCTATAACGCTCACATGGGCCACCCCATGAAGTTCTCGCTTGCTCAACTTGGCTCCCTTCTCCTCTCATCCGCTTAACTTCTTTTTCCGCTCGCCCAACTGCTAGCTCTGTAAAATTGGTTATCCTTTTTTATATTTGAAAGTGTTAATTTAATTAAAAGATGTTTAAGGATTTTAAAAATATTGTAAACCTAAAAACCATTGATTTTGGAAAACGTTCATCAATTTAAAATATATTAATGGATTTTAAAAAATATTCATAAATTGAAAATGTTCGCATATTTATTTAATAACTATTAATGAATCTGAACATAATGTGAATTAAAAATGTTGTTTAATGTTCACAAATTTGAATAAACACTCATGAATTAAAATGGGGGGAAAATAGTAGAAGGAATAAAACTAAATAGCACACAACTTTGCAGGCAGTGCACTCAGGGACCCCACAACCTCCAAAGCACCACAACGCTTCAAATCATGGGTGCTTAAGTAACTCTATAGATTTAAGGTGGTAAACTGATGACCAAAGCTTAATTACGTGTACATTTCTACTTTCTGGATTACCTACCTTGTCTTGGGTCGAACCGAGCGTTGTCCAATGGAGCCTCGACGTCGACGGCATGCCGACCAGGATCAGCAGAAGAGCCGGCAAAGCAATGAGGCAGATGGCAAGCGGCGCGGCTCTCTTCACCGTGACCCATGGCCTGTCCTTTTCCTGCTCAAGCTTGTTTGTGCAAAGACCAACAATGGTCTCTGGGCTCGTTGTTCCTTTAATGCTGCTGATTTGTGATTTCTTCTCAGCAGGGATGATGACCAGGAGATAATATATCTGGATAAATTATAGGGAGGACGAGTGTAAACGGAGAAACACGGCAGTAAATGCATGCGTTCTATGTTTTCTCAGTGGAGTTGGAGAAGCGCCATGAGCCCATGACTTGCCCACCTTCCTTTTCCTTTGTACCATTAAGGGCTCCTTTGATTCAAAGGAATTTTATAGGATTTTTGAAGGATTAAAATCGTTAGGATTTTTTCCTATGTTGGTCCTTTGATTTATAGGATTGAATCCCATGGGATTTTTTTCTATGGAATCTTTTGTACTACATTTTATAGGAAATCTAACATCCAGTCCAACCTCTTTTTACAATTCCTCTATTTTTCCCATGCCATCAAACACTCATTGCTAATTCTATAGGATTCAAGTGAGCATGCCACTTCAACCCTATACTTTTCATATCCCTACATTTTTAAAATCCTACGAATCAAAGAGGCCGCGAAGCAACAATTAATTCCTCCTTATTCATTAGAAGTCTCCCGAACTGTAGTTTTTGCTTATTTTCAGGTAGAACACATGCTTAAACCGGGTCTTTAGTGAATGCCGCTTCTCTAAACAAACACGCTTGAAATGATGCTGCTTCCTCCAAAAAATTTATTAAGTGTATTTGCTTTTATGTGAATTTTTATTGTGTGTATTTCTTTTTTAGGTGAATTCTGAATTCTTAGGTGCATTTCCTTTTTTTTACCATAGTAGATATCAATTCTACCTCTTCAAAATTGGAAAGATCATTAATGTTTGCGATGAATATCTTGCTGAATTAGATGAATAAACAATCAACTAGGTATACAACTACAAACTTCTAAAGATGTTGTAGCACAACACAGAAGGGTCTTAAGACGTACAGGTAAAAGCAGATAGTTATGGGGTATCAGTTGCAACACCCACAAAATATAGTGTCAACCATGGAAATGACAAGTCAACACTAGTAGTGGACAAGAAGACGTGTGTAAGTAATTCAGCCTGCTCCATCATAACAAAGAGTTGTTAATTGCATTCTCATAAATAAATTTAAAGACCTGCTAAATGTTATAAAACACTGGACACCAATCCTGATGGTTGGGCATACGTATTGAGAAGCACATAAGCATTTTGCAAGGAGTTGAAATGATAGCAGCATCAAAAAAATAATGTTGGAACAAATGGATCAAAAGCATTATCCATGAGGTATTCTAATATACTTTCGTAATCTGCAGTAGTATGGCGCCGTGGCGGGCTATGTATTTGTCAGGGGGCCATTGCCCCCTCCCCCCCCTCCCCGCGCGCGGGAGTTTAGAAAGACTTGTTGCTCCCATTCGAGTGACTCAAGACTCGCTACACACGAAGATGATTTTATTCTGCGTTGGTACAACTACTAAAATGTCATGTGAGATCTACATATCAGAGGAGGCATCATCATTATAAGTCAAGGCACGTTCAGTTTAGAGAAGAGTCCTAGTTCAACTTTGCCTCCGAGTCCTATGTGTAAGGCCAACTTCTGTATGAGAAAGCTATCATCATTATACGTCAAGGCAGAAATTCTATTTTCATAATCTTGACCTCTCTGTTTCTCCCTGTCCTAATTCCGGTGCCCTGTCCCTTGCACCTCTCCTTCTATCACGGCACCGCCAACAAGATGCTGCAATGATGTTGATTTTGTATTGTGAATGTTGATGCACATGTTGGCGGACTGAGTAGCGCTAATGGCGGCAGACAACGTGCATCGCTTTGGTGCTCCGCCGTGACGGCACCAGACGACTGGTAATCGCATAGATGATTTCCTCTCTCAGACAAGAAAACTTAATTATGCAAATCATCCGTTTTTCTTGCTCTTGTCCCTTTGCCTGCTTCTTCTGTCCCTCAACTCGCATGAGGAGACGGGCATGAGAGAAGGGGG